ACTCCTGCACTCGTACTCTCATTTATCCCAAACTCCTACCTTGTTGAAACTAAAGCTAAAACTGCTTCGACAGTTTTCACACGCTCTGGATCTGCTCCCTCAGTCACAGAAGTGTCTGCCATTCTCTTCTGGGATCAAAGTGAAAACAAATGTTGGAGAATTGCTTAAAGAAGGCCCATTTTCATTTTCCTGCACATTCTACTATAACCCATGATAGAGTTGAAAGAACGCCGGCTTTTCGCTAAAGTGAGCATACATTCTCAATCTACCAAGCACTCTGTGACTTAAAACATACCTTTTAAACTCTCTTTCTTACCTCCTCTCTAAAGAAGGAGATAAACATATTTACCTTGAAAGATTGCTTTGAATACTAAATGAAAAGACATAAAAATGCCTTGCAGAATAGCTGACCTATTGTAAAAATTCAATAATACTCTCTTCCCTTTTCTTTAATTTTTGGTAATAGGATTTGTCAAAATGAATGGAAAAACACTGATCACTATAGTTGAAAGGAATTCCTTTTCCTGTATAGTAGTAGTATATGATCTGTGAATTTCCAGCAGCTACCACATTTTTTCAAGCTAAACACACTTATGTATATACATATTTTTCTGTTGCTGGACTAAATGGTGAACTAATGGAGAGCAGGGCTTAAAATCAATGCGATCAGTAAGTCACTCCTCATGTTAACATTCAGCTAAATATGTTGACGACTCACCCACCACTCACAAGATATTTCATTTTCTCACAATGGTGATAGATTTATGCGAATTTGGCCATGACTTCCCTTGGAAGCGCACGTCAGTGAACTGAATGGCGAGGACAGAGTGTACAGTGTGGTTATGGAAAGCGGCAGCGTCACCAGGGACATTCAACCTACCACCACATAGTGGCCGTCCTCCAACCAAACAAGCAAGCAAACCCAACCAGATGCCATCCAGCCACATAGGAATCCAACGTTATTATTTTTGGAAGAAGAGTTTATTTTTAGCAAATTCACATTTCAGCTTTGAAATTATGAGCCAAGTAGATCCAGAAGGTGATACAACCAAACATTAAAACAGCAAAAAGTGATCCATCCCCCCATTCAAACACAAAACTTTCTCTCTTCTTTTTGGCTAAAGACATCTTGTAAAGCTCAATTGGCACTAGGCTGACTCAAAGAGATGTTAAGAATCTCATTTTCTTTCCTCCTACTCTGTTTTGTTATCCAAATAATTCCCATTGGTATCATCAACAGAGACTCTTGATTAAGATCAACAGATGGGAGGCTCATGAGTTGTAAGCAGCCAGCTCTAGGTCAACATTATTTACAGCCTCTGACTCCAATTCAATTCCCTTTCCTAAACACCTGTATTTTCTTGACACGTGTCTTCTTACCCAGGCCCAAACTTCTTAACACATGAAGACTAAGCTGAATTTTTCCATACTTCCTTGCATGTTTTAAACAAAGAATAACAATTTTATGACTGCTTGCCTCAAGATCTTTTAAATTCTTAAAATAAGATAATTACAGAGGTTCTTTCTGAAAATTAAGTACAAGGAAAAATAAGCATATATTTAGAAGGTGAATCCTATTTACATCTTCCAAAGCAATTTAAAAGAATTTCCTGTATGTATAAAGCAAACGTATCATATTTAATGGTATGCATATTATTCAAATGAGTCCATTCTAATTACTCCTTTTAAGAAACATTTTGAGACATAAAGTTTAGGTGCATATTTTCATGCATATATATTAAATTCCAAAAAAACAGTACATAAAGATGGAAGGCAGCCGAGTAAACAACGTGAGAAGCTGAACTATATTAAGAAGAACAGAGCATCAGGAAGAATGACTAACATCCTATGAAAACGGAGAAACACAACCTTGTTTGCTGAAAGTGAAGAGAATTTGAAGTACTTACTGATGAATACCAAAGATTCCAGCCTTCTGGTTGGATTACACCTTAAGGTTAAAAAAATGCAAATCTTCACAAATGGACCAAAAAGTAATAACATGATAAACTGAGAAAATATTGTGACTGTCAAGGATTTCCCTTTACACGGCTCACAGGCAACATGCATAGGGGCAGTATCAAACGATTACATGCATTGTGTGAAAGTTCTATAGAAGACCTGCTGAAAACATGTTAGGAAGCAAGGAGCTCACCTTGAAGACTAAGGTGTGCCTGACCCAAGTCACGGTATTTTCAATTATCTCCCCAGCAAGTGGAGCCTTGACAATGACTAAGGAAGACCAAAGAAGAACTGATGCCTTAGAATTATGGTACTGGTGGAGACTATAAATACATGTGGATTTACAGAAAACAAACAAATCTGTCTTAGGAGATTTAGGGCAGCCACAGAGCTCCTTAGAAGAAAGGAGGGTGGTGAGACTTTGGCTCACATATTTGGGACTTGTCATCAGGAGAGACCAGTCCCTTGAGAAGGTTATCGTGCACGGTAAAGGAAGGTTCACAACAAAGAGAAAGACTTCAAAAAGAAACATGATTGACGCACTGCGGGATGGGCTCAAACACAGCAGCTTTTGTGAGGAGGCTGTAGGACGGAGCCCCGTTTCACTGTGTTGTATCTAAGGTTGCTGCGAGCTGGAACTGACTTAAAGGCGCCTAACCACAACAAAAGGTGGCAGGCAATACTCTCAACATTATGGAGGTATTTTCCTACTTTTTAAATTAAAACACAATTCATGTAAATGAAGTCCATGTGCATTTCTCCAATGGTTTTCTCTGTCTGAACAATTAGTCCACTCAGTGAGGAGGACTTCAGTTGGTGGGTTACCACTGCTGGGGTTTCTAAATCAAAACGATCGATAAATCAAGGCTTTACTTCAGAAAGAGAACTCAATCACCAAGCTGGGACAGAGATCCAAATGTGGATAGAGTCCCTGCATGTGATAAAACGAATGCTCAGGAAATTCACACACTGAAATCTTGTACTCATCCACTGTCATAGAGCCAGTTCCTACTCATGAGGACGCCCCAGGACAGGGTGGAACTGACCCTGTGATTCTCTAAGACAGTCCTTTAGGTTAGTAGAAAGCCCCATCTTTCTTCCTCTGAGCGGCTGGTGACCACCAGCCACTTGAACTGCTGACCTTGGGATTAGAAGCCTATCTGATAGCTTCCATGCCACTAGAGCTCCTGACAGACCGTGTACACAACTATAAAAGGAGATTATTAACTACCCAAAGGAGAAGATCATCATGTCTTTTTCTGTGTAGCCACTATGAAAACATGTGAATAGAATTTAGTATCTTTTCAAGAAGAATACATTATAAATATTGGTAGAACATTAACTTTGTTCATTATGTCAGTGTGAGTCAGGAGAAACTAGACAACATTGAACAACAATAACTTGTTATATAATATTAGTAGGGTACCCAAGTTTTTCTGAGGTATCTTTCTTTCAATGTGTGAAGAAAGTAAAATGTTGCCTATTAAATACTCTTGTCTGCATAACTATTTCCTTACATTATTTCCAGACATAAAAGTAAATAGATCTGTAAAACAGAAAAAAATAAGAAAAAATAATAATTATGTAACTATTTTATCACTGTTTTGTTCTCAGTATATTTATCAATATAGTTAAGATAAAAATTTAATTAATTTTCCAAAGCTATAAAATGAAAGCAGGGAGCCTTGGTGCTGATGTAATGGTTATACATTGGGCTGCTCACCAAAAGCTCAGCAGATTGAAACCAGCCACTCCCTGGGTAAAAGATAAGGCCTTCCACTGCCAGAAACAATGACAGTCCAGAAAGTCACAGAGGCTGTCCAGCTCTGCTCAGCCCTACAGGGTCACTATGAGTCGAAATCTGTTTGATGGAAGTGAGTAGATATTGTACTTTATGCTTGAAGAAATAATACTTGAGGAAAGCAAGCTTTTATAATTATAACTGTGTATTGTAAAACTAACTCATAGACAAAATAATACAAGGCCCAAAGTGCTGAAAGCTGTTATAGATTAAAATTGTTTAATATAAGCAACATGATTTGGTTTACAAATGTCTAATTAGCAAAAATGGCAAAAAGGATCTATTATATAAATCAAGACATACAAATCCCTGTGATGTCATCAGGATAAATTCTATTTCATTACACAATTAAAACAGCCTTTTATTAAGCAATGGACATTTGTTGCAATAAAAATTTTGCCAATTCATTCATTGAATGAATTCATTTACTCATTCCTTCGGCAAATATTTATTGAATACCTACTACTCGATAAGCCCTGAGGTGTTATAAAATGCAGCAGTCATGGTCCTTTCAATCAAGATACTTGGAGTCACCCACTCATGTGGCACTTAGTCTAAGCCATCATTGTTCGTTTCTTAAAAATACATCTCTCTCTCCAACAAACTAACGGCTGTTAGGGGTGGTTTGAAGACTATTTTATATACTTATGCTTTCTAAATCATAATTATGCAGAAGCTCATTAATATTTCTCTTTTGTTATGATGTGTTCATTTATTTATTCAGTGAATATTTACTGACTACCTACCAGATTATGGAAAACATGAATGGCACATTGCATAGTATCTAGCACACTGGGTGGGCTCAATAGCAAAATAAGCTTAATATTAATGAATAATATCAGTGCATCTATGCTTAAATGATACCTATCTTACCTTAGTTTTCTCAATCATTGTAGACCTTAGGGAAACAATCTTCTTTATGTTTAATTAGAAATGGTTTTGTGTAACTGAAAAAGAATGGAACATCATTTAACTATCCATAATGTAATGGGAAGGACCAGATGATGGTGTTCTCATTCTACCTGAACATATCAAAACCAAGAATGTGTTACTTCTGAAACAGGCTCTCTGGTTTAGACAGTACTGCTAAGGAAACAATCAAATAAACTGAAGTATATGAAGAACGCAGCATCAGGATTTTAGGAAGGCTTATTAACTTGCAATATGAAAAAGACACAACCTTGCTTTCTGAAATCAAAGAAAACTTGAAGCAGTTTCTTTTCTTTCTTTTCTTTTTATTTAGGGCGCCAGGAGCAACAATCACTACATCCCAGGTAACAAAAACTATGCTTCCGAAATCTCTTGAAGTCGATTCCGCACGTAGAGCAATAGAGATGCCCTATGTGTGCCACTTCACAACAGAAGCCCTTTTTTAGTTAACTTGAAGCAGTTTCTAATGAAGATTAGACTGCAGTCTTCTGCAAGGATTGCAATAACGGAAAGAAAGCCAAAATCGTCAGCGCTGAACCAATAAACATCATGGTAAATGGAGAAAAGATTGGTGTTGTCAAGAATTTCCCTTTGCTTAGATCCATAATCAATATTCATGGAATCAGCAGTCAAGAACACAAACCACTGTGTACCTGGGGTAAATCTGCTGCTCAAGTGTGGGAGAGCAAGGGTGTCACGTTGAGGACAACGGGGCTCGGACCCAGCCAGGCTATTTTCAATCATCTCCTAACTGTGAAAGCCGAACAAGGAATAAAAGAGACTGTTGGTAAATATGTATATATTGAAAGTGCCATGGACTGCCAGAAAAACAAACAAAGTGGACTGCAAAACAACCAGAATGGACAGAATCAGAGATGGCTAGACGTTATCTCGCATTCTTTGACTCTGTGCATTGGAGACCAGCCCCTAGAAAAAGTACTATGCTCGGTAAAGTAGAGGGTCAGCAGAAATAGAGGAAGACCCTTAGGGAGATGGATTGACACACAGGCTGCAACACGGAGTTCAAACATAAAAATTGTGAGGCTGGCAAAGAACAAAGCAATTCTTCCTTCTGTTGTACAATGCCACTATAAGTTAGACCCCACAGGTAGCATTGAATTTTGATACCAAGTCCTCCTGATAACATCCCAAGGGTTGCTTACTATTATAACTACTCCTGATTTTTCCTTTTTATTGAGATCCCAAATAATGACGGCAGTAATGGTGTCCTGGTAAAAAGAAGTCTCACCTACTTTATGGTTCATCCCCTAGCCAATGCATCTCATTATGTGCAATTAGAATCTGTTAGTGAGAGCTTGCATGTTGCTATGATGTTGAACAAGTTTCAGCAGAATTTCCAGACCAAGATGAGCTAAAAAGAAAGGCTTGAAGGGTTACTTCCAAACATCAAGCAATGAGAATCCTGTGAACCACACTTGTATGATGATTGGACACAGGATGCCATGAGCCACAGCTAACTCTATGGTACTAACAGCAATACATAAGCCAGGCAGTCCGTTGAGTCTTTACATACACTGAGAGCCTGTGAAATAGAAACGGTACCACTAGCTCCATTTTACAAGGCCAAAGTGAGCAGCGGAGATTTAAAGGAATTTGACCATACAAAACCATTGCCAGAACTTTTGCAAAGTTCCTCTGAGGTCACGTGACCTCTGCTTTCCACTGTGCAATTCTCGAAGTAGAAATCTGTCTCTTACTGTTTTTCTATCTTGCTGCCATCGAGTCAATGCCCTGTGGATTTCCAAGACTGTGGCTGTTTGCTGGAGTGGAAAGCCCAGTCTTTCTCCTGCAGAGCTGCTGGTGGTTACGAACTGCTGAACGTGGCGATTGCAGCCCAGCTTGAAACCACTACACTGCCAGGGCTCCTATAGTTCTGTTGCATGTTGTTAATGCACCACTGTGTATTCAGTATGGAGATCTGCCGATGTGGTGGGTTACAATCTGGGCTGCTAACCCGAAAGTCAACAGACCTAACCCACCAGCCACTCTGCAAGGGAAAGCGAGGGATTTCTACTCCAGGAAAGATTTACAGGCTCAGAACTTCAAAGGCCAGTTCTACTCCATAGCACATGTTCCTTATGAGTCAGAACGGGCTCGAAGGCAGTGAGTTTGGTTTGGGAGTTGCTGTAGTTAGTCCAGGGTTTTGCAATCTTTCCATTGCTGGAGACAGATTGAGGTGGATGGATTTTCTGAGAAATTCCATAGGACCAAGTAGAATTTCCCCATAGAGTTTCCAAAGCAAAAATATTTACAGAAACAGGCTGCTGCATTTATCTCGCTTGGAGCATCTGGTGGGATTGAACCACTTTTCTTTTTTGTTGTCTCCTAAGGGGTTACCTATCCCATCACCAGGGTGCCTTCTCTAATCATCTCCCTAGTGAAACGTAGGACCAGGTAAGTTTTGTTGTGAGAGCTACCTGTACATTGGAAGATTATAGTATTCCCTAACACTATCCAGTTGTAACACAACATGGCCAGATATCTCTGGGCAATGAAAACCATGAATTTCGTCACAATAACTGACCTCAGGGATAGGTAATTAACTAGAAGGCCTTAAGAAATGGAACTGTAAAGACCCTTGCTCATGCTATAGGTTTAACTTTTGGCTGCTAACTGCAAGGTTAGCAGTTCAAATTCACTAACCACTGTGGATTGAAAATCTTGGAAGCTCTAAGGAGTAGTTCTGTTCTCTAGGGTCACTATGCTCCGATTAAGAATCTCCTCGATGGCAGTAAGTTTGGTTATTGTTTGGTTTAATAAATGAAACTGTATTTGAGGTTTATAAAACTTTAATTCCATAGTAGGAATCAGAACTTAACTTCAAGTTCCTTTGTCTAAAAAAGAAGCCAATAAAGTAAACACACACACTACAGGTTGTGTGTTTAAAATATTAAGAACTTGAATTTATTGAATGGCCCTCCCTGTTTCAGAAGCTTTGTTGTTTTACTCTCACTGTTTCTGGGGGTTTGACTCTATTACAAAATCGAAACTGTTCTCGAAACAGAGAGCTATTCCCAAAGATAATTTTAAAACAAAAAGAAAGAAACCACATTACATACATAATATTTGCTTAGCTTACATTGGCTTTTTTTATTTTCTGATCATGAACAATTGAGTCCTTTTAAAGTCATAGGATTTTCCTTCTCTTGTCTTCTGACTTCACAACCAAAGGCAAAACACAAGGTTAGTAAAATTGCCTGTGAGGGTTTATATTACACTTCAGTCATTCATAAGATCATAGTGATCATATTATTTCCTGTTGCTCAGTTCACTCATCTACAACACTCTAAAAGCTCATGCCTGGAATCAGATCATTACATAATCTAAGTCTATGCATATTCAGAGAATATAGTATATAAGAGACATTCTTCTCTAGAGAATAAGTTTAAGACTAGTAGTCAGTCTTGATGATGAAATGCAGATTCCCATTAGAAAACAAATCATTCATTTAAATCAGTTGACTAGAATTGTTTTCAAAGGAAATTCATCTGGTTACATTTAAGGATCAGGAAAAAAAAATCATGTACACACATATTCTTTGGCTTACAGCCTCAAGGATTTTTGTGGGATCATCAATTGGATTCATTTGGTTTAAGCTTTTATTCTTTAAAAAAGGGAATCCCAGAGAGTTATTGGGAGAATTTCAAATAGATCATATAGATCAGAAGTCCTGTATTTCCATTCCTGGGGTAAGGTCCAGGTACTGTGACAGGGGCCAAACCCAATCCAGGGATACAGATGGCAGTAAACTAAATAGGAGGTGGAAAGAAAGAGAAAGTTAAAAAAAAAAAATTTTAAGACATGGTTGGTGGGGAGCAAGGCACTATCCCACCCAAAGGGAGGGTATTGTTTATGTCTCCACAGGAGAGGGAGAGAGAGACCAGACTTCAACCTGATGTGCAAAGACGTGAATGAAACATACAGGCATGTACCAGGGAACCAATAGAGATATCGGTGGGGCGGCCCCAATCCCAACTATGTAGACACCATGACCCCGCCCCCAGAAGAATGCACTTCAGAGGGCAGTGTTGCCATTAGCTATTGTGAGACTAGCACTGAAGCTACAGTTTAGGGAATGGGCACGTCTGATCAGAGCACACAGGAGAAAGGAAGAGGGAAGGGAACACATCCTGGCCCACCAAGCCCTGAGGGTGATATTCCTGCTAAGAGCAGACATGCACAGAGAGGACCACAGGGCCGGCCCCACCATGAGACACGATGCCCCTCACTGAACCATAGCACTGTGGGGACAACACTGGAGACACTGTGCAGGAATTGTGCACTATCTGACCCCATCACATTAGGGCGAAACACTACAGACATGCAACAGAGCAGCAAGGGGAGCTGCATAAAGGCCAACAAACAGACCTTGAACTATTTATATGCTTTTCCATTTTTGTCAGTGGTTTTCTTTTTGTTGCTGTTATTTTGATTTTGTTTTTTTGTTGTTGTTATTGTTTTGTTAGTTTTGACTTCTTCTGTTGTTTTGTTTGGATTTGCCAAACAAGGGGGAAGGATACCAATCCAGGGATAAGGGAACACCAAGTGAACTAAAATAAATTGAGAGAAGGATGTAGGATGCCAGTGGGCTTAACCAAAGGCAATGTTGCAGCAAGGAAATACTAAAACCGAATGAGGACCGAACATGATGGTGGGAAAAGAAGAAAGTAAAAGGAAACAGAGGAAAGAACCAGGAGGCAAAGGACATTTATAGAGGTCTAAATACAGGCATGTACATATGTAAATATATTTATATATAATGAGAGGGGACTCGATCTATGTACTTATAGCTATTTGTTAAGAATTAAGGTTGCAGATGGACATTGGGCCTCGACTCAAGCACTTCCTCAACACAAAAACACTTTGTTCTAATAATCCGGCACTCTGTGATGCTCACCTTCCTGACACGATCACTGAAGATAAAATGGGTGCATAGCAAATGTGGTGAAGAAAACTGATGGTGCCCAGCTATCAAAAGATATAGCTTCTGGGGTCTTAAAGGCTTGAAGATAAACAAGTGGCCATCTAGCTAAGAAGCAACAAAGCCCACATGGAAGAAGCACACCAGCCTGTGTGATCATGAGATGTCAATGGGATCAGGTGTCAGGCATCTAAGACCCAGAACAAAATCATACTTAATGTGAATGATGGGGGGAGCTGGAGTGTGTGTGGAGTGAAGACCCAAAGCTCATCTGTAGACAATTGGACTTCATCTCACAGAAGGGTCACAAGGAAGAGATAAGCCAGTCAGGGTGCAGTATAGCACCGATGAAACACACAAAGTTCCTCCAATTTCTTTAATACTTCCTTCCCTCCACTATCATGACGTCAATTCTGCCTTACAAATCAGATTAAACCAGAACATACACATTGCTACAGATAAAAGCCCACAACACAGGGAATCCAGGATAGATTAAACCCC